ATAATAATAATGATAATAATATCAGCAAAATTTTAAGAAGAGGAAGAGGGAAATGCAATAACTGAAAACTCATCCATCACTTTTTAAATCTTTATTCTATTTACAAATGAAGTCTTATGGAATGAAGGCACCAAAAATCATCATGAAAATGCAATATCATATATATATATATATATATATATATATATATATATATATATATATATATATATATATATATATGCATATAATTTACACACACACACACACACATATATATATATGTATATATATATGTATATATACACATTTAGTGTGTATGTATGTGTATGTGTATATGTGTATATGTGTATATGTGTATATGTGTATATGTGTATATGTGTATATGTGTATATGTATATATATATATATATATATATATATATATATATATATATATATATATATATATATATATATATATATATATATATATATATATATATACATATATATATATACATATATGTATATGTATATATATCTGCACATAATATATATATATGCACATATATATTATATATAAACATATATATATATAATATAATATATATATATAATATAATATATATATATATATATATATATATATATATATATATATATATATATATATATATATATATATACACATATATTATGTGTGTGTGTAATATAATATATATATATATATATATATATATATATATATATATATATATATATATATATATATATATATATATATATTACACATATATATATATATTACATATATATAATGTTATGAATGCTTGCAGCTTGCAGCCATTGCATAGCCACCGTGCAACAAGGAGGAAACCATTTTCAATATCTGTTTTCAATTTCTATCCTAATTTTCTATTTTTTGTAAACTTGGAATGTCCAAAGGAACTCTTCCTCTTTTTTTCTTTTTTCTCTTTTTTAATTTGAATATTCACAAAAATGTACTTTGCGGGAAGAGAAAAAAATTTTATGTACTCTAAGAAAGCGAAATTCATCTAGCTTGCATCAGCATTTGTGTGATGTGCCGAGAGGACCTCTGGTGTTCAAAAAATAGACAGATACTCACGTACTAACATACACACACACACACACACACACACAAGTGCAAACCTGCTCATAAACAGAAGCATACACATGTATGTGTTTAATTCAAAAACCTCTATTTTAAAGATATCAAAATGACATGAAATTGCATATTTCAGTAAATTCTACAGCACATTTTTATTAAGATGCATTTTTCAGTGCTGGAAAAATGGACAGAGAAGGAGAAGGAGAAGGAGGAGGAGGAGGAGGGAGAGGAGGAGGGGGAGGAGGTGTGGGAGGAGTAAGGAGGTGGGGGGGAGGGGTAGGGGAAGGAGTGGGGAAGGAGGGGGAGGGGGAAAAGAGAAGAGGGAGAGGAGGAAGAGGAGAAGAAGGAGAGGGAGATGGGAAAAGCAAGAAAGGGAAGAAGAAAAAGAAGGCAATGAACAGGTAAAAGAAAGAGGAAAATTAGAAGAAGCAAAGCATTCAGAAAAGAAAAAGACGCGATGTCCCTTTCTGTCCCCTAAGAAAATGCAAAAGAGAGAGTATCATACATCTTAAAAGACGACAAGCCACAACACACGCATGACAGCAGATGATGACTTCAGGGATGATCACAAATGCTATAAATAAATGATCAAATGAAATGCCAATTACCAGCACCCACAACAGAGATAAAATGGTGACCATATAACAACAAAGAAGGTAGCCTAATGGAACAGAAAAATTACTGGCACATACAAAAAATCAAAGTTACATTAATGACAAATGTATCACTTGATGAATAACAATACTAATGATCATAATCATGATAATAACAATGAAAACAATTTTTAAAAAATATCTGAAACTCAAATCATGCACCATTTCATCTACAATACATATAATTGCATCTAAAGAAAATAAATACCTAAATCTGTACACTCTTTTTCAAATTTTCTTTTTTTCAGTAAAAAAAAAGAAAATAAAACCTTGCAATGAAACACAATTCACAACAAAATGAAATTACATTTTCATGCAAATCAATCATCACAAGTTTAAGCCTAATTTGGTATGAGCTTTTCCTCTGCCTTCTCCGCAAGGACAGAGGACTTTTAAAACCCTTCGAGGAACATCAGCTGCTGCTCAAGAGAAGAGAACATGGAATGTATACACTTTCTAGATATATATAAATTATATGTGTTTATCTTATATATAAATATATAAATATATATATACAGACATATATATATATATATATATATATATATATATATATATATATATATATATATATATATATATATATAATTTTTTTTTTTTTTTAATTCATATAGTTATATATTCATATATTTATATACTCCTATATTCATAAATTTATATATAATATATAATATATAATATATAATATATAATATATATAAACCATTTCCATAAATATATATATAATATATATATAAAAAGACTCATAAATAAAGGAAGCATTGCATCCCAACCCTAACAAGCGCCGGAGGCTCAGACGGCCGCCTGACCCTCGGCAATCAAATAAGCACTGCTAATGACCATGGACTCAGAAGGCCCCCAAAAGGAATATTATTTTCAACTTTGTGCAACTTCTGAAACAAATTTTAAACTGCCAATAAATCATTAGAAATTATTATAATATAAAGGATTTTTTTCTTATATTTAACAATAACAACAAAGGAAAATAATAATAATAATAACAATAATAATAATAATAATAATAATAAAAATAGCAATGATAATAATACAAACGACAAAAAGAATGACAATATTAATAATAATAATAATAAGCAGAAAAATAAAATTAATAACAATAATAAAAATAATAATAACAATAATATTAACAATAATAATAATGATGATGATGATGCAGTAATAACTGTTACAAATAAACATCATTTAATAGATATGGCATGCATACGTATATATGCATAAAAATACATATATACATTATATATATACATATATATAATATATATATATATATATATATATATATATATATATATATATATATATATATATATATATATATATATATATATATATATATAAATATATATATATATATAATATTTATATATATATAATATTTATATATATAATATATATATATATAATATATATATATATATATATATATATATATATATATATATATATATATATATATATATACATATATATATATATATATATACTATATATTTATATATATAAATATATATATATATATATATATATATATATATATATATATATATATATATATATATATATATATATATATATATATATATATATATATATATATATATATAATATATATATATATATATATATATATATATATATATATATATATATATATATATATATATATATATATATATATATATATATATATATATATATATATATATATATACTATATATTTATATATATATAATATATATATTATATATATATATATATATATATATATATATATATATATATATATATATATATATATATATATATATATATATATATATACTATATATTATATATATATAATATATAATATATATATATATAATATATATATATATATATATATATATATATATATATATATATATATATATATATATATATATATATATATATATATATATATATATGTAAACTGTAAAGCAGGGAAAAAAAATAAATAATAAAAAGGATAATGTGAACATTTATCTATTTTATTTTTTGCCTTTTTCTTAAAGCTCTTTTGCATGAAACAGTTGCCAAAATAATGACAGCAACAATAATGATAATAATAATGACATTTATAGCAATAATCATAACAACAATGGCAGTAGATATAATAATAATGATAATAGTAATGAAGGTGAAAAGGATGTTTGCAATATCATCATTACTACTAATAATAATAATGATACAGATGAAAATTACGATAATAATGATAAAAATCATTATGATCATGATTATGATGATGGTAACAGTGACGGTGATAATAGTAACACTAATATAATAATAATAATAATAATAATAATAATAATAATAATAATAATAAATAATAATAATAGTGATAACAAAGATAATAATCACAACAGCCCTGACAACAACAAAAAATCAAATTAATCATAATTTTCTTTTCCCAAACTAAAAATTCCATCATGCACACTTCCACTACAAATTTTCGTGTTTACACTTTCAAGCAAATCTTGTCATTCACACCATTGCAAACGTGCCCCTGAGCACATTCATTTCAAGGTTTCGCAAGCACACTTCCAGACACCTTCCCCATATATCCCTTAAAAAGAAATCAATAAATAAATTCTACAAATATCTCTGTGTTTTTTTTTTCTTTTCCTTTTTTTTTGTAATAAATCTAAGCATAGCTCTAAGCTGCACTCGTGTGGGAAAACACTAATTCCATTTTTTTTTCTCCTTCAAAAAATATGTCTGTCTGTATTTTGTGTATATGCATGCATGCAGTCATGTTAGGTATATGTGTGTATATCCATATGTATTCATGTAAGTGTTTTACTAGAGGTATCTTTTAAACAGCTATGCATATAATGATGTATGTATGCATATATGGCATGTATGGTTGCTACCTGAATTATTCACAAAGTGAAATACACATGATACTAGGAATAAAACCTAATGCGTCAACTGGCAAAAATAGGCACTAATTATTATGGTAATTAAAATAACTGCAATATAAAAAATTATCAAAATATTACCAACAATAAATAGTAATTATAAAAAAAATAATAATAACATAAATACATTTTCATTACAATAATAATTAATATTCATAATAAAAATCATAACTATAAGCAAAATCATCACCATTATGTAAATCATAAAAATAATTCTCAAATAAAAATAATGCCATTAATAATAACAACAATTACAATAAATGGATTTCTACAACCTACTTTATACAAAGGCATTTTGTACCAAAGAAATCTGTATTTCAACAGAAATATTTAAATATATATAACATAAATAAAGATACATATATTCATATACATCTACATATCTATAGGTATATATATGTAGATTTGTGTGGGGGGGGGTAGGGTGTAGGGGTGTATGTGGGGGGTAGGGTGTAGGGGGGTGGGGGGGATGTGAGTGTGTGCGCGCGTGCATGTGTCTGTAGAATACAAATCTTGCATTTGGATTGTATGATCAAAAACAACAAACAGATCTATAAAAAAAAAATCAGTGTGAACATTACAAATAACATGTTCATTATCATAAAAAAAAGAGAAAAACCCTGGATTCTGTTCACCCAAAACATTCAATGATATCTATTTACATCGCGATTCTTATGTGTACAAAAAATACAACCGCCACGGGAGTGTTCATCTGGAATTATACACACTTTACAAACCTTTTTTATACATATTTTCCTTTTTTTCCATTTTTCTTCTTGGCTTTTTATTTTTGTATATTCACAGTATCTTCACATTTCTAATGTAGTTAGAAGTCCGATAACTTTCTGGAAAAAGAGAGAATGAATTAGCTATTTCCCAGCTTGCATACACACACAACAAAAATATATCACACCTGGATTTACATAAACATTATATCTACAGTAGCATTTAACCTACTGATGCCAGGATGGCAAACAGACATGCCAGGTTCACTGTGATCTTAGTCTTTTAACTCAATGCTGCTGGAAAAATGCTGTGCTCAATTAAAACATCTTCTGTGAAATGTCTCAGTACAATGAAGGCTCTGCTGGTGCTTAGCCACAAAGGAGTCCATGAGTAGGCCTTGTGACCTAACCTGATTTCACCTTTCCTTGAAATGGTGGGAATTTTTTTTTCTTTACTTATAATATGAATATTGTTGGTGTTATTTTTATCATATACATTATAATTACTATAATGTTCTTGACATTAGTAAAGGCAAAATAAGATAAAGTAAAATATCAAAAAAAAAAAAACAAGGAAAGGGGTAAACAGGCCAGACAGGCAGCAATTGGCTCACTGGTGACTTGGTTAAGTGTGGCCACCTATGTGGTAAAACAATCAAACAAGTAAACTCCCAGTGGGCATGGCATGGACGTGAATGCCATGCCCGTCGGCTTTGGGTTAACTGTATCTAATTACTAGTACTATCTCTCTCACCTATCACACTCCTTGATTTTTGGAAATAATATTTTCCTTTATTTTCAGTGATAATAATAATATCAATATATAAACTATTACCATTGGGAAAAAAAAATCCCCAAAACTCAAGGAAAGAAAATCCGGTGGAGCCTTTAAGTAGCTAAGAAGAAGCACAAGACGAAACTGGCGTGGAACGCACTCGCACCATCTGTCAATATACATACATATTCACACACACACACACACACACACACACACACACACACACACACACACATTAAAATTACATTCCAGATAATCTTTGTTTAACATTAACACTTCACTTCATCCATGAAAAATACTCGAAAAAAAGAAAAGAATGAGACTGCAAAACAGAACTCCACAGGGCAGGCCAAAAGTGCAGAAGCTGTAAGTCACTACAACCAAAAATGCAAGTGCGGAGGGACACTCGGGAACGCTTCCTCAAAGGCTCTCCACAAGTGTGACAGGGTAATACTCTTCGGTTTAAAATTAAATCACAATAACAGGAAAAATAAATAAAAAGAAAGAAAAAAATTAGGAATATCAATAATGATAACAATAGCAATAATAATCATGATTATAGTAGTAATAACTATAATAATAATCATAATAACCAATAATAATGATGAAAATCAAAATGATGATGATAATATAAAAATTAATAATAGTAACAACACTAATAATAAAAACAAGAACAATAAAAATAACAACAACAATAATAATAATAACAATAATAACAACAACAACAACAAAACTAGGAATTAAAAAAAAGAGCTCTACTATCAATAACAATCCTGTGAGCTCTTTTCCCTCAAATCATCATCTCACATTCCATTCCTCCTTTCTCAATACTCTCTCTCTGCCAACTAAGTTTCAAGCCAGTGGAGTCGAGGCTCACACAGACACACAGGCGGACAGGAGAGGAGGGAGGGAGTGTGGAGGGGAGGGAGGGAGTGTGGAGGGGAGAGAAAGGAACAGGGGAAGAGTGGAGGAAAGAAGCAGGAAGGGAAGAAGAGATGGGGAGGGGGAAAAGATGAAGAGAGAAGAGGGCAAGGAGGAGGAAGGAAGGAAAGGAGAGGAAGGAGGACAGTGTACAGAGGAGGTGAGGAAGGGAGAAGAAATGTGGGAAGGAGTTAAAAGCAGAAGGAGAAAGGAGAGGAAAAGGAAAGGTGAGGGGAAAGAGGGAGGAAGGGGAAAGAGGGAGGAAGGGGAAAAGGGCTTGAGCATACCAAAGCTAACCCAACAACCATCTTTTTATTCTTTATAGGTGGTAAAGGAGGGAATTTATTACACTACAATATATCTACAATCTCACCTAAAATCAAAAACAAATCAATAAATAGATATCTCATTTGTCCAGTTGCCTTCTTACTACCTACTTTAGCTACTTACCCATTTACCTGCCTACTTATCCACTTCCCAAACCCTCCGTCTAACGACAAGCCAACTTACCTACTTCCCTTCCTAATATTTAAATAAAATAGTTGGACAAGCGGAGTCAGTAAAAACAAATATAATAGACAATACAATAAACATATACACACAGCAAGAAAACAGGGAAAGCAATCATAAGAAATACAAAACACAAAAGCAAAAATTTTCAAATGAAAACTGCAAAATCAGAGCACACAACACAAGAATGGATGAAAAGAAAAAGGGTAATACTACTACTACTACTACTACTAAAAATACTCATGATAATAATCATAATCATCATCACAGTAATAATCATAATAATCATAATAATAATAATAATAATAATAATAATAATAATAATAGTAATAACAATAATGATAATAACAATAACAATAATAATAATAATAACAATAATAATAATAACAATAATAATAATAACAATAATAATAATAACAATAACAATAATAATAATAATAATAATAATAATAACAATAAACAAATACTCACAAGAGTGAATATATGTACAAGTGACAAACAGAGAAGCGAAAGGAAAAGAGAAGCACTCAGCCACACCAAACGAAGGCCACCAAAAGAGCACACACAAATAATAATAATGGCAATCATAATGACAATAATAGCATTAACAATAACAATATCAATAATGATAAAAAAAATAATAACAACAACAGCAATAACACAAAATCAGAGTGAGAATCAAAAAGAAGAAAAAACGTAAAAAAAAAACAAAGTGCCGGCACAAACACAGAGACTTACGACGCGGAACTTGCCGAAATCACACTAATTTCCTTCTCTAAGAATCTAATGGGAAATTGGGAAAAAAAGAAAAAGAAAACATGTTTAAAACTTTGCAACCGTAAGTATTAGACTGAGGAGGAGGAGGAGGAGAGGAACCGCTACAGTAAAACAAGGGAAAAACAAGGGAGAAGTTATTCAATTGTTGATTTTTCCTTTCAATATATGACTGCTTAGGGCTGTCCTCTTTTACACTGGACTATGAAGTGAGAGAAGGAGAAGAGAGAGAGAGAGAGAGAGAGAGAGAGAGAGAGAGAGAGAGAGAGAATACATATTCATGAAGTATTACTGATCAACAACAGCCAAAAACTGAAATGTGGATATATCAGTTATCATGTTGCTGAGGTGATGCTGCTGATGATGATTATGATTATGAGGATGATGATGATGATGATGATGATAACAGTTAAGATGATAATTAAAATAATAATAACAAAATACCAGTTATAATAATAATAATGATAAAAGCAATAATAATAACATTAATGTACTTACCTAGGAGCAGAGGAGGACATGAACTAATCAAACTAACTACTGCCTACAAGACCAGTATTTGCCTTTGCATTTGCATCAAACAAGACAGCAAACAGTACACTAGGATGACTGCAGACCACAAGAAAGCAAAAGCCATGCTCTCCATGTTGAGGAGGGTGAGGAAGTTGAAAATCAAGGCATCAGAGCAAGGACCATCAATCCAAGACATTGAAGAGCAACCAAAGGCTTCAATCAATGTGGAACACAATTAACATCTCATCTCAAGAAAATCTTCGGATGGCTACGAAGTCCTGAGCTCAAAACAGAAGCCAAATATGCACTCGAGAACATCAACAGCAAATGTTGCATGTGTCTGCAGCAAGAACTTATTGCCCACTTCATTTCCGGCTGCACGGCTTTGGCACCCCTTAAGTACCCCAACAGACACAAGAAATGCGTCATATCTACACTAGAATCGAAGTGACTAAGAACGGGTGCAAACATCAGCCAGATAAAGCCAGAGAGACGGAGGATCTCCTTCTGTTGGCCACAAACCAGTCCAGGTTGAAAGAGAGTTGCAGCAGACCAATGGGCTATCACCCTTCACAAGGAGGAACACTGCCCACTCCCTGACCCAGCAGCACCCAACAATGCCAATCTCTCCCTCAAGGAAGCTCAAAAGCTCAGGAACCTCAAGGACCTGGAGATCGAGATGGAGATCACCTCGATGAACTCCCATGCAACAAGCAGAGACAAGTCAGAGCTCTGGCTGAGCCCATGTGAAAGGCACCAGAATGAATCATGCCGCAAGGAGGGAGAAATCATGATCACCTGCTAATCATAATGATAATAATAAAAATATTTCTTTTAGTATCATTATTATTATTATTACTATTGTTATCATCATAATAGCAATGATAATAATAACAATAACAATAATAATAATTATTATAATTATTACTATTATTATCATCATAATAATAATGATAATGATAATAATAATAATAATTATTATTATTATTATAATAACAATAACAAAAACAATAACAATAATAGTAATAACAATAATAATAATGATGATAATGATGATGATAATGATGATGATGATGATGATGATGATAATGATAATAATAACAATGAAAATAATAAGTTGAAAAATAATAAAAAATATTAATAATAATAATAACAGTGATGATGATAATAATAACAACAATGTCAATAATGATAGCCATAGAAACAATACTAAAAGAAATATAACAAGGCAAAATCTATATAACAAAAAAACAAAAAAACAACAACAACAAAAAAAAACAATTGCACTTCCAGCAAGAAGGAAAAAAGGGAAAAGAGGGAAGGTGTGAGGGGAAGGGGGAAGAAGGGGAGGAAGGAGGGAGGGAGTGGCAGAAACAGAGAGGGGAAGAGAAGATGAAGAAGAAGAGAGGGAGAGAGAGAGGGAGAGAGAGAGAGAGAGAGAGAGAGAGAGAGAGAGAGAGAGAGAGAGAGAGAGAGAGAGAGAGAGAGAGACAGAGAGAGAGAGACAGAGAGAGAGAGAGAGAGAGAGAGAGAGAGAGAGAGAGAGAGAGAGAGAGAGAGAGAGAGAGAGAGAGAGACAGAGAGAGAGAGAGAGAGAGAGAGAGAGAGAGAGAGAGAGAGAGAGAGAGAGAGAGAGAGAGAGAGAGAGAGAGAGAGAGAGAGAGAGAGAGAGAGACAGAGAGAGAGAGAGAGACAGAGAGAGAGAGAGAGAGAGACAGAGAGAGAGAGAGAGAGAGAGAGAGAGAGAGAGAGAGAGAGAGAGAGAGAGAGAGAGAGAGAGAAGAGAGAGAGAGAGAGAGAGAGAGAGAGAGACAGAGAGAGAGAGAGAGAGAGAGAGAGAGAGACAGAGAGAGAGAGAGAGAGAGAGAGAGAGAGAGAGAGAGAGAGAGAGAGAGAGAGAGAGAGAGAGAGAGAGAGAGAGAGAGAGAGAGAGAGAGAGAGAGAGAGAGAGACAGAGACAGAGAGAGAGAGACAGAGAGAGAGAGAGAGAGAGAGAGAGAGAGACAGAGAGAGAGAGAGAGAGAGAGAGAGAGAGAGAGAGAGAGAGAGAGAGAGAGAGAGAGAGAGAGAGAGAGAGACAGAGAGAGAGAGAGACAGAGAGAGAGAGAGACAGAGAGAGAGAGAGAGACAGAGAGAGAGAGAGAGACAGAGAGAGAGAGAGAGACAGAGAGAGAGAGAGAGAGAGAGAGAGAGAGAGAGAGAGAGAGAGAGAGAGAGAGACAGAGAGAGAGAGAGAGAGAGAGAGAGACAGAGAGAGAGACAGAGAGAGAGACAGAGAGAGAGAGAGAGAGAGAGAGAGAGAGAGAGAGAGAGAGAGAGAGAGAGAGAGAGAGAGAGAGAGAGAGAGAATCATTAAGCAATACATGCAAAGCAAGAGAGAGGATTGCACGAACCTTGCATTTGCAGAGATAAATCTCCGATCATGCTACGCTATTTATACATCCTTAGGAAAAAAGAAAAGGGAAATCCTGGTGAGAAAAATGAGGCAATGGAGGCATTAGAACGAATAACCTGAACGGCCATAATCAGAACAATAACAACAATGATAACCATAACAAGAAAACCAACAGTGTTAACCCAATGGTGCCAGGTGTACAAAAGAAAAAAAAACTCTACGCTTAAACAAACAAAGGCGGCGCGCCAACTTTGAGCGCATGAGTAGGGGACATCAGCCCAAATCACTGGCTCGCCGCGCTTTGGCGCGCTGCCGGCTCATTTGGCTCCATGCCAGCTTTCGAGCTCTTTGTTTACACGCCGATCAGCGTCACCCGGCACCAAGGGGTTAATGATGATAACAATGAAAAAATAATAACAATAATGATGATGATAACAATGACAATACGATAATCATGACAGTAGTAATGATACCGATAATAGTGATACTGATAATGAAATGATAGTAATAATACTGATAATGTAATGATAATGATAATGATAATGATAATGATAATAATAATAATGATAATAATGCAAATAATAATGTTAATAATGATGATAATAATAATAAAAATAATAATAATAATAATAATGAATAATAATAATGGTAATGGTAATAATAATAACAATGGTAATGGTAATAATAATAATAATAATAATAATAATAATAAAAATAATAATAACAATGATAACAATGATTATAACAACAATAGTAACCATAATTAATAACAATATTAACCCAATGCCGCTGGGGAAAATGAATAAAAAATGGGGAACATGCAGTGATCATTTTTTATATTTTTTGTGAAATGTCTATACATAGATGGCTCTGCCTTACCGGTTTTCACCTTTCCTTGAATTGGCGGGAAAATGTATTTTTTACTGGTGCTATGAATATCGATGGTGTTATTTTTATTATAAACATTATAATTACTATAATGTTATAAACATTAATAACAGCAAAATAAGATAACGTAAAATATTTTTGTAAATCAAAGAAAAGGGTGAACAAGCAAGTACTCGTAATTGGCTCCTCAGTGGCTTAGCACATGTGTAGCCATCTATGTGTAAAAACAAACAAGTAAACTCACAGTGGGCTTGGCATGGACGCGACGTGAACATGCCCATTGGCAATGGGTTAATAATAACAATAATAATAAAAACAAGAAAAATAATGATGATAATGATGATGATAATGATAATGATGATAATAATAATAATAATAATAATAATAATAATAATAATAATAACACTAACAATAATAATAACAATAATAATAATAATAATAATAATAATAATAATAATAATAATAATAACAATAATAATAATAATAATAATAATAATAATAATAACAACAATAATAATAATAATAATTAATAATAATAATATAATTATCATAAAAAACAGAATAATAATATTAATAATAATAATAATAATAATAATAATAATAATAATAATAGCAATAATAATAATAATGATAATATTATCATAATAATAATAATACTAATAATAATAATAATTAATAATAATAATAATATAATAATAATAATAATAATAGCAATAATAATAATAATACTAATAATAATAATAATCAAGAAGAAAAAACAATGATACTCATAATAATCATAAAGATAATATGTAATAATAAAAATAATAACAAAAAATAATAACAATGATAATGATGACAATGAAATAATAATAATAATAATAATAATAATAATAATAACAATAATAATTGAAGGTGTGGGGACAGACTATTGTGATCTCAGTCAAACTACAGCTGTCTGTTTCCTGTGCTTCTAAATCACCCTTCGTATTTCTTGGATATTTGGTGTATACTCTAGCATGGGCACTGCAAGAAGTGCAAAGCCCCAAGTTACATACTTAATTGCATGAAACCTGCATCCTATCAATCAAATAGCACTGTCCAAGATAAGCACTCACTGATCATGTAGACATTGATCTTGCATTTGATATGATTAGTGATGTAAACCATTGTTTACTGACCAGATGATATGCAACAAATGCACAATGCACAATGGCAGGCCTGTAAATGTGTGACTGATGGCTCTACCCATAAACAGAAGCACAGCCAGTTTGGACACATGCTTTGGCATATCTCTCTCTCTCTGTTGTCCTGGGGGACCTTCCATTTTTTCAGCTGCTAGGAACTGAATGTAAAATGAGGGACAGAACTGGCCTTAGCCCCTTCTTTCACTACCACTCGTTGGGGATTCATCCAGCACCAAATGCCAATGAGTTGCACATATGTATAAGCTATGACAAGACTGGACTTCTTTCTGACAGGCACATCCATACCAGTCTAAGTTGCATGTGCTAAAGAGTCATTCATTTCCTTAGCCTAAAATAATCTTTTAACTCATTCACAGGGGAATTATATTTACCACAGCTTTTAATTTTTTACCTTGAGCAGGTGCCTGGGCATGGTCCAAGCTCCTGTCAACACTGGGTTAACCTCTTGGTGCCGGGTGACGCCGATCGGCGTGCAAACAAACCGCTCGAGAGCTGGCATGCAGCCAAACGCCGCAGCGGCGCACCAAAGTGCGGCTGATGTCCCCTACTCAAGCGCTCAAAGCTGGCGCGCCGCCTTTGTTTGCTAGAGCATAGAGTTTTTTTTTTGTTTTGTACACCCGGCATCATTGGGTTAACTGCCAAGGACTGCAAAACCTCTAGCTTGTCAGTCCCCACAGTCACAATTTTTCAGGTTTTACTAAGGCATACTTCAGAGGCATGCATCTGAAGAGCTCTGTTTTCTACTCCAGACAATGTATATTTCATTGCCATAACACAAATATGGGTTTCAGCAGAGCAAGTGAGGAGGGGAATGTGGAAGAGGACAAAACCTGAGAAGGTTGAAAGAAATATGCTATACAGTAACAGAATAGCCATGCCCATGCCTAATAAGACCTTTGAGGGTTACCAGTCATCTCTTGAATACCTGCTCAGTGAACACTACCACTGCTTAGGAAAAATGATAATGATAATACTGATGATGATGATGATGATGATAACAACATGAATAATTGTTCATGTTATGATAATAACATCAACAACAATATTGTAATGATAACGATAAATATAAATTTCAACAAGTACATACATGTCCAATATAAAGTAACCTGAACACTACCACTGCCTTGGAAAACTACTAATAATAAAGATAATAATAATAACAATAATAATAATGATGATGAAAAAGACCAATAACAAATTATGATGACAACAATCAAAATAAAATTCAATTACATATAGATTTCCAGAATAAAAATGCAAATAACAAGAGCAAAACAGGAAGCCGAAACTCACAGCGTCTGGTGGCCCCCATAGCAGCCCTCTGCGTACGCAATGTCAGTCAGGATGGATGCCCTCTGCTCGTCTGTGGTTGTCACCTCATGCAGTGGTGCTCTAGCCTGTGCGTGTGAGGGGGGGAGGGGTTTTATAATAATAGGAGCTCCTATGATATTTGGAATGTATTTTCAAATAAAATGGCAGATTTTGTTTTACTAAGCAGTTATTTTGAAACAATTCTTTAAATAGTACTAAGAGAGATTTTCATTACTGGAAAAACAAAGTCTATGTCAAGATATACAAGCTATCTTTTTTGCGCATTATCTTGCATTA